TTAATTCACTGTTTTCTTTAGTTTACCTTTTTTCTGTATTAATGGCAATAGATATTTTTTGTATTTTAATTACTCTCTTTAAAATAAAACCCTTAACATATATTTTTTAATTCATGAATCCTAGAAAATGTCTGTAATGCCATAATATATACCACCTAAGCAGTTAATGAACTCTACAGAGAGCCATAACAATTCTTTCTTGAAGTACTCTGGTCATTACAAAATCTTTTTTCAAACCTGTTTTCTCCCGTTGGCAAACTAGAAATGGGGGATGTTCGTGTACATGACTTGAGTGTAAGAATGGGCAAGTGGGTGCTGCCTGTGCAAGTGTACTGAGAACCCCAACAACCAGTAAAACACACATCTTTTGCATAACACAAATAACTCTCCGATAAATTAGGAAACTAAACTGCTAGTTATGCAACATGCTCTGAACAAACCTCTTGTAGTCAGATTTTAACTGAAATTACCATTGTACTTTGGGTCATGTGATCTTGGCACCTGGACAACAACACATCCGACTATTGTGACAGCAATAAAATGTTAGTCATGATACTATAATTTGCTATGAAGATTCTATTTAAATCTTTTATTCAAAGTTAGTGTGTAATAACCAAGGCAGATATTTTTCTCTTCTAAAATTTTATTAGAGACTCCTTTCATTTGCAAGCTACCGAGAGTATTCGATATGCCAGACACAGTAACAACAAAGTCTCCAATGGAGACGTTACTGGGCCCACTCGAGCAAATCGACGATCAACGGGAGGGCCTTTACCTTTACCTTACCTTTCATTTTATTGCAAATGAAGACTTTCAATATGTCATAATGAAAATCATACACCACTTATAAATATACCACTTTTATCCATAATTAACTCATGGGTAGGTTGGTCGCTTTCATAGGTCATATATGTTAATGAAGGCGCAATAATATTTGAGTGGATAAACTTTATAATAATACAGAAATATGTCTTTTCTCCATGTCTCCTATACATACTGATATTGTAATTTCTGGTTTCAATAAGTTACTCTCCAGGTTTAAGTTGATAACTTCTTTGTTGTCTTAATTTTATTTCCCCTTTAGTCATAAATGATAAAACTTATTTAATAGGCCCACTGATTTATTCATCCATTCTCCTTGGAAGTGTTTAGGTAAAGGTAAAGGTAAAGGCCCTCCCGTTGATCGTTGATTTGCTCGAGCGGGCCCAGTAACGTCTCCATTGGAGACTTTGTTGTTACTGTGTCTGGCATATCGAATACTCTAGGTAGCTTGCCGGGCTCTCCGAGAGGGGCGGAGGAATCGAACTCGGGTCGGCCATGTTGGCCACTTGTAAGGCAAACACCCTACCCGCTGTGCTATCGTATGGCTATTTTTCAAGTTGCTTTGTTTTTTTCTTTTTTTAAAAATTTAAATCAGTGCTTTATATTCTGTATTATTAACCCCCTATGAAAAATAGATAAGATGTGCATATATCTTCTTTCATTTAGTAAAGGAATTTTCATGTAGTTCATCTTTTCTTTTGACATGCAGATATATTTCCATTTTATGCAGTTTCAATGGTATACTTATACTCCCAAATAACTTAAAGGATTCCCCAAAACATCTCTCACACTCATACCATGGAATGTTTGACTCTGTTATTTTCTGTGAACAAGATGGTCTCAGATATTATATCAGACATTTATTTATTTGTTTATTTTGGGTCTTGAGTTACACCCTTCAGTGTTTAGCGCTTAGTTGTGGCTTTGTTCTCAGGGATCAAATCTGGAAGTCTTGGGGGTCAGCATGCACTATTGGGATCAAAATCAGGGTAGTGGGGTTCAAGCCAAGAATTCCATTAGCTGTGCTCTGTCTCTGTCCACTAATTTAAGATCCTTATTCCAAAATTAATTTAATTCAGTATACAAAATTAGTAATATGTCCATTTCTGTGTTGTGCATGTGGCTGTTCAATTTTCCCAAAACCATATTTTGAAAAGGCTACTATATGCATAAGTTTAGATCATTTTTGATGGTGAAATGTTAACTAGTGTGTGTTTAGTTCTGGGATATTCTATTTCATTAATTTTTTTCTACTTTTGATCCAGTATGATTCAATTTCAGTGTTTTTCACGTTAAAATTTAAGTTCAAGTTAGGTGATCTGATTTTTTTAGTTTTGTTTACTTCTTTAGAATTGCTACAGTTTTTTGAAATTGTAATTCCATGTAAACTTATTGTATTTTTTATATTCCCATAAAATGCCATTGTAATATCACTGTCTATTCAATTTGTACTGTCCATATATTGTCATTGATAAAATAGAAAGTTTAACTAGATTAAATCTTCTCACTCATGTACAATAAATATCATTGCAGGCTGGAGAGAATGAACAGGAAGTCACAAGCTTGCATTCCTTGCAGTCAACCCCATTTCAATCCCTTGTTTGCCATATGATTACTAGAGCACAAGTGAGGATCACTCCAAATGAGGCCCTGAACACGTTGCGGTGAAATAACCAAATCAAATCTGTGTAAAGAAATTTTTAAAAAATGATTTTCCATCACCAAATGTCTTATTTTCTTTTATTCACACATTTGAATTTTCGTAATATATGTCTTTCACCTTTACCTTCAAATTTATTCTTAGGCTTTAAGTTCTTCCATATACAGTCATATAAGAGATGACTTAAGTTTCCTCATTGTCTCACTAAATATTTACCTATACACATGAGCTATGATTGCAACGGAGGGGGACAACAACTCTCAAAGCAATGCTCCACCAAGCAATACTTAGCTAATTAGACTGGAATGTGTAATGCCTTGCACGGAGATGCAATGCTGCTTCATTCCGGTGGAACTGGGGGCCATCAGGCTCACATCTAGTGCTCTGGGGCCTTGAAGGATACACACAAATGTGTTCTGTCAGTCTTACTATGTTGGAAGATATAACTTGTGACATTAATCATCAGTTCCTGACCGCTGAGCACTCTGCTTCATCCCTGCAACAGACTTTTGTACATAAATTTTCTAACGAGACACTTGACTCAGTTGTCATTTTTTGTGATGTTTTCATCTGGTGTTGACTTTATAACATGTCTTTGGTGTTCTTGCTTTAAGATTTTGAGGGTGTAGAGAAGCATAAGTTTAAATATTAACATCAATTTTAAAGCCTTGCCTCTCATCTTTAAGAACTTTTTATTAAAGGGCATTTGAACCTTTACACTTGAGATCAGTTGATTCTGGGTTACTGAGATTATTTCTTAATTTATTTAAATTTAACAAGCTGTGTTTTCAAAAAAATATGTATCTCACTTTTTGGTTTTTGGTCACATCTTCAGTTCTCAGAGCTAACGCCTCCTTCTGTAGTCAGGGACCATTCATGTAGGACTCAGGGGATTATACTAGTGCCAGTATAAACTACATCAAACTACATCAGCTGCATGCTAGATAAGCATCCTACCTGTTGAACTTTCACTTCAGATCATCTAAATATCATTTCTCAAATTGTTCATGTGCTTTGTTCATGCTTACCTTAAAATCCTTGGTATTTTCCCAGAATCTGTTATGATTTATTTCTAGGGTTTGTAGTTCTGTTTCTAAGCTCTTCATTTCTTCTTTATATTTTCAGTTAAACATTTTATAATTGTTTTTTTATTTTAAGAAATCGCTTCTTGCTTTGCTTTATTATGTTCTAATTTTTATTTAATTTGTTCGTTGTTGTGTTCTTTTTATAAATTTTGGGACTTCCAGGGCTGGAGCAATAGCACAGCGGGTAGCGCGTTTGCCTTGCACACAGCCAGCCTGGCCGAGCCAGATTCCATTTCTCTGCCCCTCTCAGAGAGCCCAGCCAGCTACTGACAGTATCTCACTTGCCCGACAAAACCTGGCAAGCTACCTGTGACTTATTCAATACGCTAAACACAGTAACAACAAAGTCTCACAAAGGAGACGTTACTAGGCCCGTTCGAAAAAATCGATGGACAACGGGAGGACAGTGACAGTGACAGTGGGACTTCCATTTGTTTCCCTGAAGGGATTAAAATATTCATTTGAAACTTCATTGTTTCTGTATGAAGAACTGGTGTACAATTTAATCTAAGTAATATTTTGCTGCAGTGCATAGATTCTGTTACATGTGACTTCCATTTTGTTTATTTCTTGTTAGTTCTTAAGTTCTGTTTTCTTTTAAAAAATTTTATTAGGATGATAATACATTTTTTATAATTTTAAGGTAAATTAGTAACATAATTTCTTCAACTTTTAGGTTTTATGTTTGACACATAAATTTAGTAGAAAAAAATCAAGGATTAACAGTTTGATATGGTTCTTTCATTGCCTCTAAAAAACACATTGACCCCATCCTATCTTGTGTCTCCTCACCCAAATGTTTGATATACTCTGTCATTGTTAATTTCCATTTCCCAAGTCCCAAGAGAATGTTATCTTTGCATCGCTTTAAATCAGATGAGTATAAAAATAATAATGGTTCCGTTTCAGAAGCAATCCAAAAGGGTTAAGATCATACTTTGCATTTAGGATGCCTGAGCTCAATCCCTGACACCACATGGTCCTTTTAGAAATTCAACTGGTGAGATATGAATGTAGATAAGGAGTGGCATGCTAGAACTTTGGGTACCATTCCCAAAAATATTGATACCAATTCCTACTTTTTATAATTAGTATTGGAGAGTTCTATGAAAAGGAATCCTAATAAAATGCAAATAGTATTTTTCTTAATTTTGTCACTTTATAAGAGGCTATATATTAAATAAAAAATACGATACAAATTGTAGGCAAGGTAATGGAAATAAAAATTTATTATCAATAATTAACATAGTGGAAGATGGGGTATTTATATGTGGAAGAATAGTCAGATTAAATAGATATGTTTGAACCCTTGTCTCAGTTATATCTTTCATTTAGATTTCTGGAGAACATTTCTTTGCAGGAGCAATCATGAGGTGCTATTCCTTGTTGATGATAATGGTCTCTCTAATGGAACTGGTGACTGAACCTCTGAATCAAGCCTTGAACCTACAGAAATAAGGTAAATTCTGCTTGCAGTCATAATCTCTCCATTGTTCGTAATCTGAAAAGTTAGAAGAGAGGACTAAGTATTGCAGATACAAGAGTGAATGTGAAAGAGCCAATTCCATGCCTCGCTTATCCCTGTAGCCTATTTCTGGAAATGAAAAATATCAGTCAAGGAGAAAGAAATGCAGAGAGAAGCAAAGAAAATAAACCTGGGTTTTCCTCATATGAAGGCTCTTTTGAACTTCGACAGAGATAATAGGAAATGAGGGACAGAGAAAGAAGCTTCTGTCTTTCTTACTTGAGGTTGCTGAAAGGGTCCCACAGTAGCCATGTGTCCATAGAGGATAGCCTGGGATATTTTTCTCCCAGGCCTGGTAAACCATTAAATCATTGTTGACCCACATCCAGATGCCTCCATTGGGCTCATAATCCTGTGGCATAAACAGAGAGAAGTCAGGTGAGTGATGACTAGTCACTAAAATGCTCACTCATAGACCATGAGCAGAATACCCGATTTCTCTCTACAATAAGGGTATTTGATCTTCACCTGAGGATGCAGACCTAGAACTTAATGTAGCAATGCTTTCCAAGCTCTCAGCTCTGCTTTTTAAAAAGCAAGTGAAAAACAAGTCACTAAATAGTATGTCATATTTGAACAGTTGTGGTGCCATACAAGTTAAGCTTAACCCTTCAGAAGCAGTAAAGACTGCAGGATAAGGCATTTAACCCATGATTTGCATGGATGAAATGTTCACACAGTTCCTCAGGCAGATTGTGAAGAAGATATTTGAAAGTTGGCCATAGGGAGGCACACACCAGTGACTGAAGAGCCTGCCCTATAGAACTCAGATCTTCAGATGGCTGCAGGAATTGCTCTCCAAAACCCTCTCTGGTTTTATAATTCCCCAGGCCTGCTCATTCTACTCTTGGGCAGGGAAAGAAAGGAGAATGTCCTGTGTGGCAGTAACAGCCTGAAGTGTTCAGAGTTGAGACATAATCCCACCTCCATGGAGTTATGGAGTCCAATCCAGATGTTCTCATGCTTCGTCTTTGTGTTTCGAATCACAGAGGCCACGAAATAAGCCTCAGAAGCATCACGCACAGACACAAGGTATCCTTCGAATCTGTCCTGGCATGCCATCTGTGAAAGGAAGGCAGAGACAGGAAGAAGCTGCAGAGGACACTGAGACATGCCCATGTGTGGGGGAGTGGTAGAATAACATTCTATATCTCAAGGATCCTTATAGCTGGGAGGTCCCAGTCTGAGATATCATAATTCTTATGGATCCACTTTGCCAAACTCACATCTGCATCCAACCAGGATTTGGGTGACAGAAACAAGGCATAGCAGAAGGATTCATAGGCCACAGAACCTCTGGGGCAACTGATCCTTGGAGACAGCTCTTCCTGGTGCAGGTCTTCCCCTGGAGTAGAATCATTGAAAATACTTAAAATGAAAAGAATAGGGAGGAATGTGGCGGCGTGGTGTGCATTGGTATTCACCAATACCAATGTGGGTCGTGGTGTGCATTGGTATTCACAAAGTCAGATTTTGGACTAGTGTCCTTTACTTATGATAAAGTCTCTAGAGCTCTGGAAGGTCAAAATGTATTCACTTTTACCGAGGCCCAGTTCATGAGAAATCATGTATTCTTCTATATACTCTTTCTGAAGATAATAAGAAGTTACCTTGAGGCCTCAGGCTGCTCTTTCAGCTCATTATCGATAAAGAGACACACCAAAGAATCTTGGAATTAAACAGCTCACTGCATAGATGGCCCTGGACTTTATGTCAGGCTGATTTTACTAGTGCCCCATAGATGGGAGCGGTTGTCATCACTCCATCTGGCCCTAAGAATCCTGGTGGCCACCACTTTCCAGAACCCAAGGAGAAGTGCAGATATGTGGATTCAGAGATGGAAAATTCAGACCTCAAGAAATAGGGAATGGGCAGGTCCCTCTCATTTCCTTATCCCTGGGACCCTGGAGGTCACACCCATGAACTGCCTTTGGCTGCTATGAACTCCTTAATGGTCATGATCCAGAGACACAGAAAAGAATCTCAGAACCAAGCAGCTTGCCACAGAGATTTCTCCATACACTAATGATCTAAAATTGTAGAATTCTAGGAGTGCATGGCTGCTCTCATGGCTGTGCGAGATATTATGCTATTCGTAGTAACAACACAAAATAAATTATCTAGCATCTGCCTTTTCAGTTTTGAGCAGTGGCGGGAAAATTCAATATAATGGTGGTGGGAAGGTGTAACGGTGATGGAACTGGTGTCAAAATATTGAATGTAATTTGTTATTGTGAATAACTTTATGAAAATAATTTTTGTTAAAAAAAAGGAGTTTACCTGAGTCTGTACCAAAGTCTAAATACTTTGATGCTTTCTCACTGGCACTTTCAATTTTGTACCTCCCTGAACATGCATCCTCAGATCGACAAGAAATAATTTTCTTTGATTGTAGGATCCACAGTGATCTTTCCCAGCACTTTTGATAGGAGATAATGTCAGTGGATTCATCTTTTCATTACGATGTTCACCTCACTGATATTTATGTTCCACAGGAGCCTACTTGATCTCCTTGTTCTGAGTGTTCCATGCACAAAGGCTAGTACTGGGACCACTCACCTTTCACTTGGTATGGCAGCATGAGGCCAGAAAGCAGTATCCAAGCAACACTGGGAATGACCATGAAAGGCAGCATCCTGTCTGACTGGAGGAGGCTAGAGGAGACAGGAATGACAGTGAAACCAGGAAGAAGGTAAGTAGATGACCCACTACTCCACTTTCAGTCATATCCCTGTAGCACTGTAGCACTGTCCTCCAGTTGTTCATCAATTTGCTCGAGCGGACACCAGTAACATCTCCATTGTGAAACTTGTTGTTACTGTTTTTGGCATATTGAATATGCCACAGGGAGCTTGCCAGGCTCTGCTGTGTGGGCAAAGTATTCTTAGTATCTTGCTGGGCTCTTCGAGAGGGACCAAGGAATTGAACCCAGATTGGCCGCATGCAACCACCTGCTGTGCTATGGCTCCAGTCCGAGTCAGTCATGTCCCTAATACCAGAAATCATTTGATCTTCCTGACTTGCATCTTCCTCTACAGGGACAGAAGCACAGTCAGTGTTCTGACAATTCAACCCATCAGGACTTTTAATTTAACATGCTGAATCAACACTTCAGAACTTCCTCTCATCTGGAGGTGTTCTTCAGGCCTTTGCTATTTCTTTACTGGGAAATTTCTTCTCAAGCTTTATTATTTTTTTGAAGCTAGTAACCTTGTCCCTGAATCTATCTGCCTGCAATAGTACCATGCAGTTTTAAAAATTGAATAGATATTTACAAAATCAAGTTATGAATATTGATAAATCACATGAATAAGATTGAGTTTTCACGTATTTTTCAAAAGGCTATGTATGTCTTTAGTAATAGAAATAATTCTGATAATTTACAATTTAGTGGAGAACTAGGTATATAATAATATAGAAATTTCATATGATATATAAAAGTTTCTGTAAGAAAAATGTACTGTCCTCCCATTGTTTATTGATTTGCTCGAGCAGGCCCAGTAACATCTGCATTTTGAGACTTGTTGTTACTGTGTTTGGCATATCAAATATGCCACGGGGAGTTTGCCAGGCTTTGCCGCGCAGGCAAGCTACTATCAGTAGCTTGCCGGACTCTCCAAGACAGGTATTGAACCTGGCTCGGCCAGGCCGGTCACGTGCAAGGCAAACACCCTACTGCTGTGCTATCGCTCCAGCCCAGGTAGAAGGGAAGGATGGGCAATACAAGGGCGAAATTCCCTGGGCTCGAGAACAGCCGCACCCATCTAAGGGCTCTCCCAGGACACACTGCTGGGACAGTGGGTGATGATGTAGGGTGTGGGGTCACAAAAAAATTGTTTCAAAACAAATCTATGATTTATTATCAGTGTTTTATGCATACCTAGTTTATACCCATGGGTGAAAAAGGGCTTTAAATGAAAAGAAACTTAAGCAGCTTTTCCCACCTAAGGATCACAGCGTGCCATTAACAGCTTGAAAACTTCCCCAGCATGGGAGTGGGGCTGCTGCGAGAAGGGGGAGGAGGAGAATCTCTATCCCTTTTGCTCAATTCTGCTGTGGACCAAAATTCGCTCTAAATGAATGAATAAAGTCAATAGAGCTGGAGAGACAGTGCAGAGCTTCAGGTGTTTCTCGGCATGGTGTGATCTCAGCACTGCACATGCTCCCCACTGGAAAAAATGTACGTAATATATAATAACACCTCTTTTCAAAAATAAGAGTCACATAAGACTTTTTACTGGATATAACATATGAAAAATAAAACATATGAAAAATAAACATATGAAAAATAAAACAAATTTATAAGGCAATATTATTATGGTCATTAGTTGAATAATAAGAGGGCAATGGATGATTTCATTACCTTTAATTTTTCAGAAATGATTCAGGTGACGGGATAATTCAAGTTCTTGAGAAAGTGCTTATCTGCTATGTGAAGAGGCGACACCTGAGACATTTCCCAGGCTTTGCTGGAAAGTGACACCTCCCATTTTCTGAAATCTCTGGAAACCATGCCTAGCCTTTCCCAGCACCCTCATGGTACCACTTTCTTGTAATTCATTGGCATGCTCTCTCAGTAAAGATTTCTATTAAAGCCTGGTCTTTCTTGCCCTAACAAATCATCCCTGACCCCAGAAGAATGGTAAGTGGGTACTGATGCAAGACAACATTCACTGACTGCAGGAGTCATTCCTCACATTCTCGAGGGGAGCTAGAGAAGAATCCCATTCCTACAAGAACATGAGTGCTCTCCAAATCCAAGATGGTAAAGTGTGAAAGCTTCTGGCTAGCAATATTGAGAATAGCAAACATTGTTTTTCTGTTGTTGTCACTTGAGAGTTACATAGTTGTCTGAAAGACCATCATTTTCCTGAAAATTGGACAAAGGAAATAATGAGATTGATAGTACGTGGGTGCTCTACTTGCCCACTCCCTGACCAACTGCTACTACTGACTTTGCAGCCTCATCCGGACAGACAGGATACTTTCCGTGGCCTTTGCCAATGTGGCTTGAATGCTGCTGCCCTGCCTCATGCTACAATATCAAGTGAAAGGTGAGTGAACCAGCCCTTGTGTCAAGGAATACTTTGAAAGAGCTGAGAGATGGTTCCCATGGGACATGCTGTATCAGCGAGGTCAATATCACCCAAAGTCTAGTGCTGCTCCCTTTTTAAAAAAAGGACTGGAGACATGTCTGTGGGTACCAGGACTCATAGAAATTGGGGTCTTCTTCTATTCTGTGTCCATGGGAGAGCAATATGGGAAGTCTGAGTCACAAAAGCCCATTGCAAAGGATAAAGACTGTGGGCCATGGAGAACATCTCAGCTGACTGAGGGCTGTGGCATCTTCCTTTAAGAGAAAGAGGCAATAGAAGAGTGTTTGGTTGCTCATGCCATGGGCATGATTCAGAGTGAAATCACTCAGCCCCAAAGTCTGAGTATGACATTGCACTGGGGTAAGTTCCCCAGCACTGCTCCAATCTATATCTGATAGTATCTTCCCCACCCTCAAATGCCATACTACTTTTTAGTCTATCAGTCCTTTTATTGCGGTAGGGCATTTGCCTTGCACATGGTCAACCCAGCCAACCCGGGTTTTATTCCTCCACCCCTTTGGGAGAGCCTGGCAAGCTACCGAGAGTATCTCGCCCGCACGGCAGAGCCTGGCAAGCTACCCATGACGTATTTGATTATGCCAAACACAGTAATAAGTCTAACAATGGAGAGGTTACTGGGGCCGCTCGAGCAAATCGGTGAACAACAGGAGGACAGTGCTACAGTTCTACCCCAGGGGAAGACCTGCAGAAGAAAAAGTTGTCTCCAAGAATGAGTGCACGGAGCAACAGCAACAGGTATGTATTCACCTTGCACGTGGTCGATTCAGGTTCGATTTCTCAGTCCCTCTCAGAGAGCCCGGCAAGCTACCTAGAGTATCCTGCCTACACAGCAGAGCCTGGCAAGCTCCCCATGGCGTATTTGATATGCCCAAAACAGTAGCAAGTCTCACAATGGAGATGTTACTGGTGTCCGCTCTAGCAAATCGATAAACAACGGGAGAAGACGGTGCATTACTACACCGAGAGATACAAGCTAAGGTTTTGGAACCTGAAGCCACCTGCTGGTCTGCGTTCTGTAGAGCATGCTCATCTCTTAATTGCTTTAAGCCTCTCTATCAAGTATTTATGTAATTGGCACGATTAGCTCCTGATAGATTGTGTGAAAAACTCAGTGCTGAATACTAAGGGAGTTGTCTTCCACAGTAGCTGTTTTTCCTCTGAATTGTTGAGATTTAAAAGCTATGTAGTACCACATGGTGTTCAATCAATACACACTTTAATTCAAATTTAATTAGGCTTAGAAATTTTATGAATCAGAGTGATGAGCTAGGCCAAGTTTTTCAATGTTCATCTCTAGGTTTGAACCCTTAGTTGAAGACCTGCTCTCCCTATGGCATGGAGATAATAGGGTGTTCTTAAAGTTTTATTAAAAATTTGTATATAGACTGATCTCTCTCTCTCTCTGCTTTATGCCACAGATCCTGATATCAGTCCAGTGGGGGCAGCTGGGAGTGGAGCAGCAATGATGTGCTGAATTACCTGACCTAGGAGACGCTAACCCAACGCTAACCCAACCCAGGTTATGGTGGGAGCCGTTCAGCAACCACAAGTAAGACAGGCTCAAGCTAATGTCTCTGTCCCTCATTTCCTTTTTTCTGAAACTGAAGTCAAAATATCTTACATATGAGGAAATGTATGTTAATTTTCTGCTGCTGCACCCTCTCTATTCTTTCTCTCTTGCTGAGTTCCCTTCCTCAGGAATAGGTCACTCTTTTTGTTGTTTATTTTTTTTTATTAGTGAATCACCATGAGGTACAGTTATAGACTTACAAATTTTCTTGCTTGCATTTCAGTCGTACAAATAATTTTTAATTGACTACAACTTTGTTTCTTTTTATTTCTTTTATTTTTGTATGGAAATATCTCTGAGGAAAGAACTTGCAAAAATGTATTGGGTGTTTATCTTGGTTTACTTATTCATATTTAGAATCTTCACTCTAATTTTGCACTATGACATTATGTCCCTATTAACGTCAACTTCATGTAGTGCATAGAGATGTTGGTTGCATTCAGCAACTCGGTACTGACAACACCCCATGACAAACATACAAGAAAATTTTGCAGCTTGAAATTTATGCCTTAACTTCTCCATTGTCATTTACTTTGCCCAGCTCCTTTGTGTTTAATTTTGTGATTTCTTTGGAATGTGTCTCTAAGTGTACAATAAATGTCTTTCAGGTTAGAGAGATTATAAATGCTTGCCGTGTGTGCAGCCAACCACATTTCAATCCCCAGTTTTGAGGATTGAATGGTTCCCAGAGCACAGCCAAGGATCGCCCCTGCACCAACTTACACGAGACCCCAAGCACCTCAGGGTGTGTTACTGAAACCCAA